ATGACTCCAGCCTCAATCATGCCGACAAAGGACTTTGCAACAGTTTCGTAGAATATTGTGTAGTAGTAGGTGACCCATGCGACGAGAAGTCGGAGGAGAAAGGGGATGGACCTTGGCTCCGCCATGTTCTCAGTGCTGATTGTGTGTTAGCTCCTATCGTGAAGAAGTTGTGCTCGATGGGTTTGCTAATAGTACGAGTGTCCAATGTGTGGAGTTGCTACAATTATTGGGGGAGGGCAAACCTTTCAAAGTTCCGCGTCCTCCGCTTTCCTTGGAGTGTTTTGTGAGGCATGATGAGTTGGTGTGGCTGACGCGCACAATGAGTGGAGCACTCACGCAAGGGGCCAATCACAGCCCTTCTCATGTAATTGTCGCGTGGTCGTGCAGACTCGCAGTACATTTGGGCTTTGTGACATTACCGCTAGCCCCCGGATAGTAGCGCCCTTGGGGGTGTAAAAAAACACTGTTTTTTAAGGGGTGCACTTATAATCGAGGAAATTTATAAGCGCCGGCGTTTATAAAATATCAAAAATGAAATGTATTGTTTTAACATGAAATTGAAGCTTTTTCAAAAGGGGATTCAATCCACATCTAGAACGTTCGTATCCGTGCATAAAAGTGCGTGAAATGGCCAATAAGGTGTGGAATCACGCCCATCACGCCTTGCAGGCCTGGCCAGATTCATCGAACATGAATCTGGCCCATGTTAGCGCACACGTAGTTTAGGGTGCGACTGCCCAATCAGGGTCGCATGCCGTGCCAGGCACGACTCTGTACAACCATGCAATTGGCAGCCCCGGCAAGATTCCACTCCACCGAGGCATTGACCTCACCACCTCAGCTCCTCTGCGGGGGGATCTTGACAGTTTTCCCCCTTTCCCTGCAGAGGAACCCGGGCCGCGAAGTTGGAGGGGTCTCGGGCGAGGGTTTCAAACGAGGCTCATTCTCTTCGTTTTCTTCAGTTTTCTTGTTTTCCCTCGGCCTGCCTAGGCCATGGCGGGCCTTCCAGGCACTCACTTCCTATTTAGCCGTCGACCTGCTGTTGGCAACACTCGCGATTACTCTCAGTGGCAGAGTCGCCCAGCGCCTCCTGCTCCTCCAGCACCTCCTGCTCCTCCTGCTCCTCCTGCGCCTCCTGCTCCTCCAGCACCTCCTGCTCCTCCCACTCTGCCTATCGTCGTCGTCAACGGTCAGCCCGTTCTGCAGCTCCTCCCTCGCGGTTACTCAGCTTTCGACGCGTACATCTCCGAGCCCGAGCGCAGCGGCGACGATGAACCCGGCCCCGGTCTGTCGCCACGCTGGGGAGACGCGGAAGACTGCCCATACGACGAATCCGCCACTGGTGCTGAAGACGATGTTGAGTGGTGGGCGGCCGACGGTCTTCTCGAGGACCTGCCTGTCCCTAGTTTCCCCCCGCCGAATAAGAAACGGCCCCACCCCTCCAAACAGAATCGTGATGCCCGCCCCCCGTCCCCCAGGAGCAAGCCTTCAACGCACAAGCGCAACTCCTACACTTCCCAGGAGAAGCTGCAGTGGATTGCAAAGCTGGAGTCCGGAGCTGTGAGTGTGCGGAGAATGTCCCGCGACACTGGTATCTCCCGAAAGTCTCTGTCAGAGTGGAAGTCGCGGAAGGGTGAGCTGGAAGGCGCGCATGGGGCTCGCAAGCGCCTTCACGGGCGTGGTCGGGCGTCGTGGTATTGCGACATGGAGATCGAGGTGCACTCACGTGTTCTTGCCCATCGGAAAAATTGTCTCGCCGTGTCTGTCGGCCGACTGGAGAAGTGGTCACACGAGGTGATGAAGATCCTGCATCCTGATGTAAAGTGGGCTGGATCTCAGAGGTGGTTCGAGGAGGTGTAAAGTGAACCGCTCATTCAAAGCAGCAGTCTGCCAACTGTACCACGAGTGGTTCGAGAGCGAGGGGGTCGACTGCCTGACCGAAAGAGGTGAGCTCAATCCCTTCGTGTACGATGTGTCTGCTCTTGACTGTTTCCACCCTATTCTGATTGCTGTAGTGTTTCCATGTGTGGTAGGCAACATCCGCAAGCCACCTCCAGAGCTGACGCTCAAGTGGATCTCCAAGGCCTGGAAGGCCGTGCCCAAGGAGTTGATTCAGCGCTCGTTTCTCACCTGTGGCATCAGCAACGCCCTGGATGGGTCCCAGGACAATCTCTGCATGCAGCACCGGCGGGACGCCGTCAAGGGTGAAGTAGAACTTGACGACGAGATTGCAGCAGATGGATTCTGTTGCAACAACGTAGAGAAGCCAGAGTCGGACGGGGAGGCTGACCAAGATGGCTCCGCCACTGTTGATGGTGATGCATAGGATGCTAGGAAGAAAAGAATGCATAGGATGCTAGAGAAGGTCAATGAATGTTGCGGTAAACTATCAGTAGGATTTAGTACCGTAGTAGAATTGGAAAAATATTATGTTGTAGTGAAAATAGCTTGTAAAAGATAGGATAATAATAGTCGAAATAAAAAAGGGAGGCGCTTATAATGTGTCATAATACAGGGGTGCGCTTATAATCCGTATGCCTCCAGGGGTGCGCTTATAAGCGAGGACCAGATATAAGCGCCATCACCCTTTTACAACCGCCGGCGCTTATCCGAGGCTTGCGCTTCTATCCGGGGGCTTACGGTAGGTTCAGAGACATTTGGGCGCGACTCGGGCAAAAAGTGTCCTGTGCGGAATGTACCCTCAAAGCCAAGATTTCAAGCAGTTCAGTTGTTTTGCAGTTGGTGAGGGGAGCTTGGCTGCGATTGGTTAGCGAGGTAGACAATCTGACGAGGGGTGAAGCGAGGGGTGCACTTTGCGAGGACAACATTCCTTAATGCACTTTGAGTAAACTTGTGACTTTGAGAGAGAAATCCGAAACTAAGGATCTGGAATGTACTTTCCCTAGTTCTTATTTGCATGATGTGACATCTTAATAGTGGTGACAGACTCGTTATCGACTTAATCCCACTCTTCCTTTTGTGTTATGAATGAACTTGCAGAGTGCGCAGAATAACGAATAACGAGGATTGTTCAGTACTCAATTGATCCAATGAACACACAAAGTGACGAGGCCTAAATAGGGGAAAAGCTAGCTAGGCGAAAAGGTAGGGCGAAGATGGCTCGGTGATGGTTGCGTTTGGTGCAGAGGCCGACTCGGGGGTGGTTCGGTGCGACGAATTAGGCCGAACAGGTTCGTCGCGTGACCCTCGGGATTGCCTCGCTAACGAGCGCCTCATTAAGGATTTGTAAATCCTTACATTTTGCAACTGATACCGTAACCATCTGGTTGAAACATGTAACACTTTCCACCTCGGTCAATGGACGTTTGCTCCGCAAAACTGCGTGTCGCGTCAATCACACACACACACGATCACGAATCGCGCCCCCCGCTTGGACAGTATAGTAGCACGTTGCCAGAGCCTCCGTCTGTTGATTATCATTGTGGAGCTTCCAGCCACCTCGAAGCTGGTGGGTAGGGTAAAAGCCGGCAGAAGTATCCAATGTATAGCGACGACGCGTGGTAGGCGGGTAGCAAAAACACCAAGCCGATGGGCTTTCCATAGCTAATCCCCAGTCAATGGGCACGCAAACAATGTGTCCGAGGAATGCATTTCGGGCACCGCCCGTATCGCAACAAGTGTCTGGCAAAATAGACAGTCACAGTTTCAGCCGACGAATAAATCGCCTGCATTTCTGATTCTTCGAGATTCCAAACAAGCTGTCGCGTCGTCGTCGCCCTTGAGGTTCAAATTTTCCAACAGCTAGTCCATCTGACAGTGACAATTCGCGCTGTCACATCCGAAATACCGCCCCGAAAATCCGGAGGCGCGTCGGTGCTGGTTCCCGCAGAGCTAGTAATCGAGGACAGAAGTTCGTACTGATGCTTTCGTGAATAGAGGAGAGAGCTTGACCCGGACGTTGCACCTGGGTGAAAGTCGTGACCATAAGGGGAGAGGGGGCATTGGTGTTTCAAAGGCAGCACATGACCGTCACGTGACAGTTTTTCAGGATTTGATCTCTACTAATTAACTATCAGTTGCCTTCCGTGGCGGTTCTCCGTCTAGCCCGAGTGCATGTTCCTGAACTTCCAAAATTGTTCTGTTAGTTTCAGGTCAAAACTTACTAGATTGTAAGTGCTAACAACTACGTTTCCCCGTTCTCGAGGCGCTATTCTTTCTCTGGTCAACAGGCTCTTGGTCGCGTCATGGGTGGGTTGAACGGGCACGGATTTCACGAGTCGATCGGTCTTGAAACACGCACTTCAATTCCGGACTCCAACTCTGTGTCAGACACACCTCAGCTGAGTTCGCGATCGTCGCATGCACCGTCGCCACTGTCGGTACCGACGTCGTCATCGTCACACCTGTCGCGCGTCTTTCGTGTAGTTTCGCACATGCTGACGACTCTAGGGATCAAAACAGGAGGTATAGTAAACGAGGAGAGAAGCCCGCGATCGAAATGTCATCTCATGGACTGGTCCCACTACTACGTGCTCCTTTCCGCCATCCTGTGGCTTCTTGTACTAGCCGTATTGTTACCGCCTTTGATCACCAGATCCTATGATGCGGGAGCGGAAAGCATCAGCGCGCCGGGATTGGCGGCAGCATGGGGAGCGAACGGATGGGGCGCTCATTTCCCCCTGCAGCTGCGAAAGTCGCTGTTTGTCGCCTACACTGCAAACGCAACAGGGGCAAACGCCGCAAGCTCATTCAAGTAAGTCGCTAGAGCGGCGTGATCAGTATGAGGTGTTAAAACCTCAGGTTCTAAGGGTTTCGGGTTTAGGGTCACCCGTCAGCCTTCAGATTTTCTGACAAAAGGCCTTCCCTTGATTCCGCTATATTTCCTAAGGTACCACGCCAAGCCTTTTTTTGCTCCAAACCCCTTTCCCGCCCCCTCCCCCTGAACCCCGGCGATTCCCCTCCCCACGTACGCCGCATCTCCCCGCACCGCCAACCTCCCCGCAACCTCCCCGCGTCACGTGACGCCGTGATCCAAACAGTGCACCCGCCAGGTTTGACGCTACCGGCGCTACTGGCGCCGCCGCTAGTGGTGCTACCGCCACTCGCGTTGCTTCCGGCGATTTCGATAGCGTAGCGCAGCTCAGACGGCGACGAGGAGTATGCTGGACGTCGTCAGGAGGTACGACTGTTGTGAGCGCTTTGAGAAAAGGTAGAGCTCTAATATTCAAGCCCGCCTCGGTAAGGCTCAAGTATCGGAAGTATGAGTTGCGAGACACCTGAAAAAGACGAGGAGTATGCTGGACGTCGTCAGGAGGTACGATTGTTGGAAGCATGGGAAACAATATGATTTATAGGCGCCTCAAGAATAGGTAGAGCTCAAATATGTAAGCCCCCATCAACAATAGGTAAGGCTTAATCACGGCATTGGAAATCTGAGCTGCGAGACGCCTCTGAAAATGACGAGGTTGCTGAACTTCTTCCGCTTTAGCGCTGACGAGGATGCGATTGTTGATTGGCCACGAACTGGCGGGATGCGAACTGGTCAGCGCAATGGCCCATTGCACATAGATGTGGAAGACACAGATTTGGGCATGGATTGTGACCTTGTGTGTGTGCGTGTGTGTGTGTGTGTGTGTGTGTGTGTGTGTGTGTGTGTGTGTGTGTGTGTGTGTGTGTGTTTTGACCTGAAATTACCGCTGAGTTTCCCCCCATTAGCAGCAGCGCCCCATTTCCCGCCATTAGCACTATGATCCATTGCCCCCTGCCTCCTCCCTTCTCACACTCAGTGTGAGGCTCACATGACTCAGTAGACGATGCATCATCCCTTTCCTGGGAGACTTCGAGCGGAATCGTTTCATGCAACCCCCTTCTCGCCCTCCCTTGCTTCTTTCCATATGACCCTGTACGACTATTCATCACCTCTTTTCGTATTTCTGAGGCACCTGAATCAATGCTCTCACACAGCAGCAGCAAGTCCTCACCGGCTCCCTTGCTTCTCATCTCCATACGCTCTCTTGGATTCCCCCCTTGCTCTCAATGCACTCCGCAGACGATTCATCCCCTTCCCCCTCGGGAGTGGTGATCCACGGCTCAGGTTGCGCCACGTGTATGCGCGGGCAGCGCTGCTCCTTCCGCGTGTCCGTGCGCGCCCCTGCGCGCTGGGCGCGGGTGCTGAAGGCGGGCAAGGAGAGCTGGTGGAAGCGTGACTTAGCTCTGACTTTAAGAGGCAAAGCGTTAGCCCACGGGGACATTAGGTGTCTAGACCCTCCGCATTGCACGGAGTTTAGAGTGTCGTACCGCGTGTGGGACCTTGGCGATTACCGGTGAGTGTGATGTCGAGGCGCCTCCATGTTGTAGTTAATCTACTCCTCACCAATCTGCTCTTCTGTTGTCTCCTCCGCACCACCTCCATACCCCTGCCAACCCCTTGGCACCACCTTCGTTTCCTTGCCAACCCCTTAGCCCCTCCTGTGTATCTCTGGCACCCGCTTCGCGCCCATCCCTTTCCTCCCTCACATGCCCCTCTATCTCCCCCCTTGCCCCATGTTGTACTTTCCCCATGCTCCATTGCGCTCCTCCCCGCGCTTTCCCTTGCACTCCTCCCCGCGGTTTTCCCCGCGCTTTTCCTACGCTCCCCCCTGCAGGGGTGACGCTGCATGTGGGGTGCGCCAACCTCTACTTCCCTGCCACCTCGCACCCACCCGCTTCCCCCCTCACTTGTGCCTCGCTTCCCATCCTCATGCTGCCCCCATCTCTCCCCCTCCTGCTTTGCCCCCCCATCTTCTCCCCCTCCTCCTGCTTTGCCCCCCCATCTTCTCCCCCTCCTCCTGCTTTGCCCCCCCATCTTCTCCCCCTCCTGCTTTGCCCCCCCATCTCTCCCCCTCCTCCTGCTTTGCCCCCCCATCTCTCCCCCTCCCCAGGGCGACGCTGCACGTGGGGTGCGCCAATCTCAACTTCTCCGCCTCCTTTGCGCACCACTTCAACCGCACGCACCAGCACAGCCTCGCCTCCTGGCCCATCACAATCACGCCACGTGGCAACGCGTTCGCCAGAGCCAGAACTCTTGGCATCAGCAGCAGCATTGGCAGCGGCAGCAGCAGCAGCAGAAGCAGCAGCAGCAGCAGCACCAGAGCAGGTGACAGCAGCAGGCGTACCACCGCCATACCTGCCACTTATTTGGAAGCAGCAGGCGGGAAGGGGAACCATGAGCGCGGAGGTGGGAGGAAAGGGGTGGAAGAAAAGGAGAGGGAGGGAGAAGGGGAGAGGGAGGCGGAGGAGCAGGAGGGAGTGCAGGATTGGCCGAATACTCCGTGTGTGGGGACGTCAGTGCCGGGCCGATGGGTGGTGAAAGCAGATGGGTCGCTCAGGTATGTGCCTGTCGATGGGTGTAAATCGGTGAAGCTGGGTCTAGATGGGCTGTGTGTGTGGCCGTGTGGGTTTGGATAGTCTTTTGAGGCGCCTCAAACACCCTTCCCACCTTCCTCACACCCACCATGCCTCCTTCCCCCCAGGGGGGTCTTCTACCAGTGCACAACCCCAGAAGTGCCCCCTTCAGATGTGCCCCCTTCAGATGTGCCCCCTTCAGATCTGCCCCCTTCAGAAGTGGCCCCTTCAGAAGTGCCCCCTTCAGAAGTGCCCCCTTCAGAAGTGGCCCCTTCGGAAGTGCCCCCTTGACAAGTGCCCCCATCACAAGTGCCCCCATCACAAGTGCCCCCATCACAAGTGCCCCCATCACAAGTGCCCCCATCACAAGTGGCCCCATCACAAGTGGCCCCATCACAAGTGCCCCCATCACAAGTGCTTCCATCACAAGTGCTTCCATCACAAGTGGCCCCATCACAAGTGGCCCCATCACAAGTGGCCCCATCACAAGTGGCCCCATCACAAGTGGCCCCATCACAAGTGGCCCCATCACAAGTGGCCCCATCACAAGTGGCCCCATCACAAGTGCCCCCATCACAAGTGGCCCCATCACAAGTGCCCCCATCACAAGTGGCCCCATCACAAGTGGCCCCATCACAAGTGGCCGCATCACAAGTGGCCCCATCACAAGTGGCCCCATCACAAGTGCCCCCATCACAAGTGCCCCCATCGCAAGTGGCCCCATCACAAGTGGCCCCATCACAAGTGGCCCCATCACAAGTGGCCCCATCACAAGTGGCCCCATCACAAGTGGCCCCATCACAAGTGGCCCCATCACAAGAGGCCCCATCACAAGTGGCCCCATCACAAGTGCCCCCATCACAAGTGGCCCCATCACAAGTGCCCCCATCACAAGTGGCCCCATCACAAGTGGCCCCATCACAAGTGGCCGCATCACAAGTGGCCCCATCACAAGTGGTCGCATCACAAGTGGCCACATCACAAGTGGCCCCATCACAAGTGCCCCCATCACAAGTGCCCCCATCGCAAGTGGCCCCATCACAAGTGGCCCCATCACAAGTGGCCCCATCACAAGTGGCCCCATCACAAGTGCCCCCATCACAAGTGGCCCCACCACAAGTGCCCCCATCACAAGTGGCCCCATCACAAGTGGCCCCATCACAAGTGGCCGCATCACAAGTGGCCCCATCACAAGTGCCCCCATCACAAGTGCCCCCATCGCAAGTGGCCCCAAGTGCCCCCATCGCAAGTGGCCCCATCACAAGTGGCCCCATCACAAGTGGCCCCATCACAAGTGGCCCCATCACAAGTGGCCCCATCACAAGTGGCCCCATCACAAGTGGCCCCATCACAAGTGGCCCCATCACAAGTGCCCCCATCACAAGTGGCCCCATCACAAGTGGCCCCATCACAAGTGGCCGCATCACAAGTGGCCCCATCACAAGTGGCCCCATCACAAGTGGCCCCATCACAAGTGGCCCCATCACAAGAGGCCCCATCACAAGTGGCCCCATCACAAGTGCCCCCATCACAAGTGGCCCCATCACAAGTGCCCCCATCACAAGTGGCCCCATCACAAGTGGCCCCATCACAAGTGGCCGCATCACAAGTGGCCCCATCACAAGTGGCCGCATCACAAGTGGCCCCATCACAAGTGGCCCCATCACAAGTGCCCCCATCACAAGTGCCCCCATCGCAAGTGGCCGCATCACAAGTGGCCCCATCACAAGTGGCCCCATCACAAGTGGCCCCATCACAAGTGCCCCCATCACAAGTGGCCCCACCACAAGTGCCCCCATCACAAGTGGCCCCATCACAAGTGCCCCCATCACAAGTGGCCCCATCACAAGTGGCCCCATCACAAGTGGCCGCATCACAAGTGGCCCCATCACAAGTGGCCCCATCACAAGTGCCCCCATCACAAGTGCCCCCATCACAAGTGCCCCCATCGCAAGTGGCCCCATCACAAGTGGCCCCATCACAAGTGGCCCCATCACAAGTGGCCCCATCACAAGTGGCCCCATCACAAGTGGCCCCATCACAAGTGGCCCCATCACAAGTGGCCCCATCACAAGTGGCCCCATCACAATTGCCCCCATCACAAGTGCCCCCATCGCAAGTGGCCCCATCACAAGTGGCCCCATCACAAGTGGCCCCATCACAAGTGGCCCCATCACAAGAGGCCCCATCACAAGTGGCCCCATCACAAGTGCCCCCATCACAAGTGGCCCCATCACAAGTGGCCCCATCACAAGTGGCCCCATCACAACTGGCCCCATCACAAGTGGCCGCAACACAAGTGGCCCCATCACAAGTGGCCCCATCACAAGTGCCCCCATCACAAGTGCCCCCATCGCAAGTGGCCCCATCACAAGTGGCCCCATCACAAGTGGCCCCATCACAAGTGGCCCCATCACAAGTGCCCCCATCACAAGTGGCCCCACCACAAGTGCCCCCATCACAAGTGGCCCCATCACAAGTGCCCCCATCACAAGTGGCCCCATCACAAGTGGCCCCATCACAAGTGGCCGCATCACAAGTGGCCCCATCACAAGTGGCCCCATCACAAGTGCCCCCATCACAAGTGCCCCCATCACAAGTGCCCCCATCGCAAGTGGCCCCATCACAAGTGGCCCCATCACAAGTGGCCCCATCACAAGTGGCCCCATCACAAGTGGCCCCATCACAAGTGGCCCCATCACAATTGCCCCCATCACAAGTGCCCCCATCGCAAGTGGCCCCATCACAAGTGGCCCCATCACAAGTGGCCCCATCACAAGTGGCCCCATCACAAGAGGCCCCATCACAAGTGGCCCCATCACAAGTGCCCCCATCACAAGTGGCCCCATCACAAGTGGCCCCATCACAAGTGGCCCCATCACAAGTGGCCCCATCACAAGTGGCCCCATCACAAGTGGCCCCATCACAAGAGGCCCCCATCACAAGTGGCCCCATCACAAGTGCCCCCATCACAAGTGGCCCCATCACAAGTGCCCCCATCACAAGTGCCCCCATCACAAGTGCCCCCATCACAAGTGGCCCCATCACAAGTGGCCGCATCACAAGTGGCCCCATCACAAGTGCCCCCATCACAAGTGCCCCCATCGCAAGTGGCCCCATCACAAGTGGCCCCATCACAAGTGGCCCCATCACAAGTGGCCCCATCACAAGTGGCCCCATCACAAGTGGCCCCATCACAAGTGGCCGCATCACAAGTGGCCCCATCACAAGTGGTCGCATCACAAGTGGCCACATCACAAGTGGCCCCATCACAAGTGCCCCCATCACAAGTGCCCCCATCGCAAGTGGCCCCATCACAAGTGGCCCCATCACAAGTGGCCCCATCACAAGTGGCCCCATCACAAGTGCCCCCATCACAAGTGGCCCCATCACAAGTGCCCCCATCACAAGTGGCCCCATCACAAGTGGCCCCATCACAAGTGGCCGCATCACAAGTGGCCCCATCACAAGTGGCCCCATCACAAGTGCCCCCATCACAAGTGCCCCCATCACAAGTGCCCCCATCGCAAGTGGCCCCATCACAAGTGGCCCCATCACAAGTGGCCCCATCACAAGTGGCCCCATCACAAGCGGCCCCATCACAAGTGGCCCCATCACAAGTGGCCCCATCACAAGTGGCCCCATCACAATTGCCCCCATCACAAGTGCCCCCATCGCAAGTGGCCCCATCACAAGTGGCCCCATCACAAGTGGCCCCATCACAAGTGGCCCCATCACAAGAGGCCCCATCACAAGTGGCCCCATCACAAGTGCCCCCATCACAAGTGGCCCCATCACAAGTGGCCCCATCACAAGTGGCCCCATCACAACTGGCCCCATCACAAGTGGCCGCATCACAAGTGGCCCCATCACAAGTGGCCCCATCACAAGTGCCCCCATCACAAGTGCCCCCATCGCAAGTGGCCCCATCACAAGTGGCCCCATCACAAGTGGCCCCATCACAAGTGGCCCCATCACAAGTGCCCCCATCACAAGTGGCCCCACCACAAGTGCCCCCATCACAAGTGGCCCCATCACAAGTGCCCCCATCACAAGTGGCCCCATCACAAGTGGCCCCATCACAAGTGGCCGCATCACAAGTGGCCCCATCACAAGTGGCCCCATCACAAGTGCCCCCATCACAAGTGCCCCCATCACAAGTGCCCCCATCGCAAGTGGCCCCATCACAAGTGGCCCCATCACAAGTGGCCCCATCACAAGTGGCCCCATCACAAGTGGCCCCATCACAAGTGGCCCCATCACAAGTGGCCCCATCACAAGTGGCCCCATCACAAGTGGCCCCATCACAATTGCCCCCATCACAAGTGCCCCCATCGCAAGTGGCCCCATCACAAGTGGCCCCATCACAAGTGGCCCCATCACAAGTGGCCCCATCACAAGAGGCCCCATCACAAGTGGCCCCATCACAAGTGCCCCCATCACAAGTGGCCCCATCACAAGTGGCCCCATCACAAGTGGCCCCATCACAAGTGGCCCCATCACAAGTGGCCCCATCACAAGTGGCCCCATCACAAGTGGCCCCATCACAAGAGGCCCCCATCACAAGTGGCCCCATCACAAGTGCCCCCATCACAAGTGGCCCCATCACAAGTGCCCCCATCACAAGTGCCCCCATCACAAGTGCCCCCATCACAAGTGCCCCCATCACAAGTGGCCGCATCACAAGTGGCCCCATCACAAGTGCCCCCATCACAAGTGCCCCCATCACAAGTGCCCCCATCACAAGTGGCCCCATCACAAGTGGCCCCATCACAAGTGGCCCCATCACAAGTGGCCCCATCACAAGTGCCCCCATCACAAGTGCCCCCATCACAAGTGCCCCCATCACAAGTGGCCCCATCACAAGTGGCCCCATCACAAGTGGCCCCATCACAAGTGGCCCCATCACAAGTGGCTCCATCACAAGTGGCCCCATCACAAGTGGCCGCATCACAAGTGGCCCCATCACAAGTGGCCCCATCACAAGTGGCCCCATCACAAGTGGCCCCATCACAAGAGGCCCCATCACAAGTGGCCCCATCACAAGTGCCCCCATCACAAGTGGCCCCATCACAAGTGCCCCCATCACAAGTGGCCCCATCACAAGTGGCCCCATCACAAGTGGCCGCATCACATGTGGCCCCATCACAAGTGGCCCCATCACAAGTGGCCCCATCACAAGTGGTCGCATCACAAGTGGCCACATCACAAGTGGCCCCATCACAAGTGCCCCCATCACAAGTGCCCCCATCGCAAGTGGCCCCATCACAAGTGGCCCCATCACAAGTGGCCCCATCACAAGTGGCCCCATCACAAGTGCCCCCATCACAAGTGGCCCCACCACAAGTGCCCCCATCACAAGTGGCCCCATCACAAGTGGCCCCATCACAAGTGGCCGCATCACAAGTGGCCCCATCACAAGTGCCCCCATCACAAGTGCCCCCATCGCAAGTGGCCCCAAGTGCCCCCATCGCAAGTGGCCCCATCACAAGTGGCCCCATCACAAGTGGCCCCATCACAAGTGGCCCCATCACAAGTGGCCCCATCACAAGTGGCCCCATCACAAGTGGCCCCATCACAAGTGGCCCCATCACAAGTGCCCCCATCACAAGTGGCCCCATCACAAGTGGCCCCATCACAAGTGGCCGCATCACAAGTGGCCCCATCACAAGTGGCCCCATCACAAGTGGCCCCATCACAAGTGGCCCCATCACAAGAGGCCCCATCACAAGTGGCCCCATCACAAGTGCCCCCATCACAAGTGGCCCCATCACAAGTGCCCCCATCACAAGTGGCCCCATCACAAGTGGCCCCATCACAAGTGGCCGCATCACAAGTGGCCCCATCACAAGTGGCCGCATCACAAGTGGCCCCATCACAAGTGGCCCCATCACAAGTGCCCCCATCACAAGTGCCCCCATCGCAAGTGGCCGCATCACAAGTGGCCCCATCACAAGTGGCCCCATCACAAGTGGCCCCATCACAAGTGCCCCCATCACAAGTGGCCCCACCACAAGTGCCCCCATCACAAGTGGCCCCATCACAAGTGCCCCCATCACAAGTGGCCCCATCACAAGTGGCCCCATCACAAGTGGCCGCATCACAAGTGGCCCCATCACAAGTGGCCCCATCACAAGTGCCCCCATCACAAGTGCCCCCATCACAAGTGCCCCCATCGCAAGTGGCCCCATCACAAGTGGCCCCATCACAAGTGGCCCCATCACAAGTGGCCCCATCACAAGTGGCCCCATCACAAGTGGCCCCATCACAAGTGGCCCCATCACAAGTGGCCCCATCACAAGTGGCCCCATCACAATTGCCCCCATCACAAGTGCCCCCATCGCAAGTGGCCCCATCACAAGTGGCCCCATCACAAGTGGCCCCATCACAAGTGGCCCCATCACAAGAGGCCCCATCACAAGTGGCCCCATCACAAGTGCCCCCATCACAAGTGGCCCCATCACAAGTGGCCCCATCACAAGTGGCCCCATCACAACTGGCCCCATCACAAGTGGCCGCAACACAAGTGGCCCCATCACAAGTGGCCCCATCACAAGTGCCCCCATCACAAGTGCCCCCATCGCAAGTGGCCCCATCACAAGTGGCCCCATCACAAGTGGCCCCATCACAAGTGGCCCCATCACAAGTGCCCCCATCACAAGTGGCCCCACCACAAGTGCCCCCATCACAAGTGGCCCCATCACAAGTGCCCCCATCACAAGTGGCCCCATCACAAGTGGCCCCATCACAAGTGGCCGCATCACAAGTGGCCCCATCACAAGTGGCCCCATCACAAGTGCCCCCATCACAAGTGCCCCCATCACAAGTGCCCCCATCGCAAGTGGCCCCATCACAAGTGGCCCCATCACAAGTGGCCCCATCACAAGTGGCCCCATCACAAGTGGCCCATCACAAGTGGCCCCATCACAATTGCCCCCATCACAAGTGCCCCCATCGCAAGTGGCCCCATCACAAGTGGCCCCATCACAAGTGGCCCCATCACAAGTGGCCCCATCACAAGAGGCCCCATCACAAGTGGCCCCATCACAAGTGCCCCCATCACAAGTGGCCCCATCACAAGTGGCCCCATCACAAGTGGCCCCATCACAAGTGGCCCCATCACAAGTGGCCCCATCACAAGTGGCCCCATCACAAGTGGCCCCATCACAAGAGGCCCCCATCACAAGTGGCCCCATCACAAGTGCCCCCATCACAAGTGGCCCCATCACAAGTGCCCCCATCACAAGTGCCCCCATCACAAGTGCCCCCATCACAAGTGGCCCCATCACAAGTGGCCGCATCACAAGTGGCCCCATCACAAGTGCCCCCATCACAAGTGCCCCCATCGCAAGTGGCCCCATCACAAGTGGCCCCATCACAAGTGGCCCCATCACAAGTGGCCCCATCACAAGTGGCCCCATCACAAGTGGCCCCATCACAAGTGGCCGCATCACAAGTGGCCCCATCACAAGTGGTCGCATCACAAGTGGCCACATCACAAGTGGCCCCATCACAAGTGCCCCCATCACAAGTGCCCCCATCGCAAGTGGCCCCATCACAAGTGGCCCCATCACAAGTGGCCCCATCACAAGTGGCCCCATCACAAGTGCCCCCATCACAAGTGGCCCCATCACAAGTGCCCCCATCACAAGTGGCCCCATCACAAGTGGCCCCATCACAAGTGGCCGCATCACAAGTGGCCCCATCACAAGTGGCCCCATCACAAGTGCCCCCATCACAAGTGCCCCCATCACAAGTGCCCCCATCGCAAGTGGCCCCATCACAAGTGGCCCCATCACAAGTGGCCCCATCACAAGTGGCCCCATCACAAGCGGCCCCATCACAAGTGGCCCCATCACAAGTGGCCCCATCACAAGTGGCCCCATCACAAGTGGCCCCATCACAATTGCCCCCATCACAAGTGCCCCCATCGCAAGTGGCCCCATCACAAGTGGCCCCATCACAAGTGGCCCCATCACAAGTGGCCCCATCACAAGAGGCCCCATCACAAGTGGCCCCATCACAAGTGCCCCCATCACAAGTGGCCCCATCACAAGTGGCCCCATCACAAGTGGCCCCATCACAACTGGCCCCATCACAAGTGGCCGCATCACAAGTGGCCCCATCACAAGTGGCCCCATCACAAGTGCCCCCATCACAAGTGCCCCCATCGCAAGTGGCCCCATCACAAGTGGCCCCATCACAAGTGGCCCCATCACAAGTGGCCCCATCACAAGTGCCCCCATCACAAGTGGCCCCACCACAAGTGCCCCCATCACAAGTGGCCCCATCACAAGTGCCCCCATCACAAGTGGCCCCATCACAAGTGGCCCCATCACAAGTGGCCGCATCACAAGTGGCCCCATCACAAGTGGCCCCATCACAAGTGCCCCCATCACAAGTGCCCCCATCACAAGTGCCCCCATCGCAAGTGGCCCCATCACAAGTGGCCCCATCACAAGTGGCCCCATCACAAGTGGCCCCATCACAAGTGGCCCCATCACAAGTGGCCCCATCACAAGTGGCCCCATCACAAGTGGCCCCATCACAAGTGGCCCCATCACAATTGCCCCCATCACAAGTGCCCCCATCGCAAGTGGCCCCATCACAAGTGGCCCCATCACAAGTGGCCCCATCACAAGTGGCCCCATCACAAGAGGCCCCATCACAAGTGGCCCCATCACAAGTGCCCCCATCACAAGTGGCCCCATCACAAGTGGCCCCATCACAAGTGGCCCCATCACAAGTGGCCCCATCACAAGTGGCCCCATCACAAGTGGCCCCATCACAAGTGGCCCCATCACAAGAGGCCCCCATCACAAGTGGCCCCATCACAAGTGCCCCCATCACAAGTGGCCCCATCACAAGTGCCCCCATCACAAGTGCCCCCATCACAAGTGCCCCCATCACAAGTCCCACAAGTGGCCGCATCACAAGTGGCCCCATCACAAGTGCCCCCATCACAAGTGCCCCCATCACAAGTGCCCCCATCACAAGTGGCCCCATCACAAGTGGCCCCATCACAAGTGGCCCCATCACAAGTGGCCCCATCACAAGTGCCCCCATCACAAGTGCCCCCATCACAAGTGCCCCCATCACAAGTGGCCCCATCACAAGTGGCCCCATCACAAGTGGCCCCATCACAAGTGGCCCCATCACAAGTGGCTCCATCACAAGTGGCCCCATCACAAGTGGCCGCATCACAAGTGGCCCCATCACAAGTGGCCCCATCACAAGTGGCCCCATCACAAGTGGCCCCATCACAAGAGGCCCCATCACAAGTGGCCCCATCACAAGTGCCCCCATCACAAGTGGCCCCATCACAAGTGCCCCCATCACAAGTGGCCCCATCACAAGTGGCCCCATCACAAGTGGCCGCATCACATGTGGCCCCATCACAAGTGGCCGCATCACAAGTGGCCCCATCACAAGTGGCCCCATCACAAGTGCCCCCATCACAAGTGCCCCCATCGCAAGTGGCCCCATCACATGTGGCCCCATCACAAGTGGCCCCATCACAAGTGGCCCCATCACAAGAGGCCCCATCACAAGTGGCCCCATCACAAGTGCCCCCATCACAAGTGGCCCCATCACAAGTGGCCCCATCACAAGTGGCCCCATCACAAGTGGCCCCATCACAAGTGGCCCCATCACAAGTGGCCCCATCACAAGTGGCCCCATCACAAGAGGCCCCCATCACAAGTGGCCCCATCACAAGTGCCCCCATCACAAGTGGCCCCATCACAAGTGCCCCCATCACAAGTGCCCCCATCACAAGTGCCCCCATCACAAGTGCCCCCATCACAAGTGGCCGCATCACAAGTGGCCCCATCACAAGTGCCCCCATCACAAGTGCCCCCATCACAAGTGCCCCCATCACAAGTGGCCCCATCACAAGTGGCCGCATCACAAGTGGCCCCATCACAAGTGGCCCCATCACAAGTGCCCCCATCACAAGTGCCCCCATCACAAGTGCCCCCATCGCAAGTGGCCCCATCACAAGTGGCCCCATCACAAGTGGCCCCATCACAAGTGGCCCCATCACAAGTGGCCCCATCACAAGTGGCCCCATCACAAGTGGCCCCATCACAAGTGGCCCCATCACAAGTGGCCCCATCACAATTGCCCCCATCACAAGTGCCCCCATCGCAAGTGGCCCCATCACAAGTGGCCCCATCACAAGTGGCCCCATCACAAGTGGCCCCATCACAAGAGGCCCCATCACAAGTGGCCCCATCACAAGTGCCCCCATCACAAGTGGCCCCATCACAAGTGGCCCCATCACAAGTGGCCCCATCACAAGTGGCCCCATCACAAGTGGCCCCATCACAAGTGGCCCCATCACAAGTGGCCCCATCACAAGAGGCCCCCATCACAAGTGGCCCCATCACAAGTGCCCCCATCACAAGTGGCCCCATCACAAGTGCCCCCATCACAAGTGCCCCCATCACAAGTGCCCCCATCACAAGTGCCCCCATCACAAGTGGCCGCATCACAAGTGGCCCCATCACAAGTGCCCCCATCACAAGTGCCCCCATCACAAGTGCCCCCATCACAAGTGGCCCCATCACAAGTGGCCCCATCACAAGTGGCCCCATCACAATTGCCCCCATCACAAGTGCCCCCATCGCAAGTGGCCCCATCACAAGTGGCCCCATCACAAGTGGCCCCATCACAAGTGGCCCCATCACAAGAGGCCCCATCACAAGTGGCCCCATCACAAGTGCCCCCATCACAAGTGGCCCCATCACAAGTGGCCCCATCACAAGTGGCCCCATCACAAGTGGCCCCATCACAAGTGGCCCCATCACAAGTGGCCCCATCACAAGTGGCCCCATCACAAGAGGCCCCCATCACAAGTGGCCCCATCACAAGTGCCCCCATCACAAGTGGCCCCATCACAAGTGCCCCCATCACAAGTGCCCCCATCACAAGTGCCCCCATCACAAGTGCCCCCATCACAAGTGGCCGCATCACAAGTGGCCCCATCACAAGTGCCCCCATCACAAGTGCCCCCATCACAAGTGCCCCCATCACAAGTGGCCCCATCACAAGTGGCCCCATCACAAGTGGCCCCATCACAAGTGGCCCCATCACAAGTGCCCCCATCACAAGTGCCCCCATCACAAGTGCCCCCATCACAAGTGGCCCCATCACAAGTGGCCCCATCACAAGTGGCCCCATCACAAGTGGCCCCATCACAAGTGGCTCCATCACAAGTGGCCCCATCACAAGTGGCCGCATCACAAGTGGCCCCATCACAAGTGGCCCCATCACAAGTGGCCCCATCACAAGTGGCCCCATCACAAGAGGCCCCATCACAAGTGGCCCCATCACAAGTGCCCCCATCACAAGTGGCCCCATCACAAGTGCCCCCATCACAAGTGGCCCCATCACAAGTGGACCCATCACAAGTGGCCGCATCACATGTGGCCCCATCACAAGTGGCCGCATCACAAGTGGCCCCATCACAAGTGGCCCCATCACAAGTGCCCCCATCACAAGTGCCCCCATCGCAAGTGGCCCCATCACATGTGGCCCCATCACAAGTGGCCCCATCACAAGTGGCCCCATCACAAGAGGCCCCATCACAAGTGGCCCCATCACAAGTGCCCCCATCACAAGTGGCCCCATCACAAGTGGCCCCATCACAAGTGGCCCCATCACAAGTGGCCCCATCACAAGTGGCCCCATCACAAGTGGCCCCATCACAAGTGGCCCCATCACAAGAGGCCCCCATCACAAGTGGCCCCATCACAAGTGCCCCCATCACAAGTGGCCCCATCACAAGTGCCCCCATCACAAGTGCCCCCATCACAAGTGCCCCCATCACAAGTGCCCCCATCACAAGTGGCCGCATCACAAGTGGCCCCATCACAAGTGCCCCCATCACAAGTGCCCCCATCACAAGTGCCCCCATCACAAGTGGCCCCATCACAAGTGGCCCCATCACAAGTGGCCCCATCACAAGTGGCCCCATCACAAGTGCCCCCATCACAAGTGCCCCCATCACAAGTGCCCCCATCACAAGTGGCCCCATCACAAGTGGCCCCATCACAAGTGGCCCCATCACAAGTGGCCCCATCACAAGTGGCTCCATCACAAGTGGCCCCATCACAAGTGGCCGCATCACAAGTGGCCCCATCACAAGTGGCCCCATCACAAGTGGCCCCATCACAAGTGGCCCCATCACAAGAGGCCCCATCACAAGTGGCCCCATCACAAGTGCCCCCATCACAAGTGGCCCCATCACAAGTGCCCCCATCACAAGTGGCCCCATCACAAGTGGCCCCATCACAAGTGGCCGCATCACATGTGGCCCCATCACAAGTGGCCGCATCACAAGTGGCCCCATCACAAGTGGCCCCATCACAAGTGCCCCCATCACAAGTGCCCCCATCGCAAGTGGCCCCATCACAAGTGGCCCCATCACAAGTGGCCCCATCACAAGTGCCCCCATCACAAGTGCCCCCATCACAAGTGCCCCCATCACAAGTGGCCCCATCACAAGTGGCCCCATCACAAGTGGCCCCATCACAAGTGGCCCCATCACAAGTGGCTCCATCACAAGTGGCCCCATCACAAGTGGCCGCATCACAAGTGGCCCCATCACAAGTGGCCCCATCACAAGTGGCCCCATCACAAGTGGCCCCATCACAAGAGGCCCCATCACAAGTGGCCCCATCACAAGTGCCCCCATCACAAGTGGCCCCACCACAAGTGCCCCCATCACAAGTGGCCCCATCACAAGTGCCCCCATCACAAGTGGCCCCATCACAAGTGGCCCCATCACAAGTGGCCGCATCACAAGTGGCCCCATCACAAGTGGCCCCATCACAAGTGCCCCCATCACAAGTGCCCCCATCACAAGTGCCCCCATCGCAAGTGGCCCCATCACAAGTGGCCCCATCACAAGTGGCCCCATCACAATTGGCCCCATCACAAGTGGCCCCATCACAAGTGGCCCCATCACAAGTGGCCCCATCACAAGTGGCCCCATCACAAGTGGCCCCATCACAAGAGGCCCCCATCACAAGTGGCCCCATCACAAGTGCCCCCATCACAAGTGGCCCCATCACAAGTGCCCCCATCACAAGTGGCCCCATCACAATTCGCCCCATCACAAGTGGCCGCATCACAAGTGGCCCCATCACAAGTGCCCCCATCACAAGTGCCCCCATCACAAGTGCCCCCATCACAAGTGGCCCCATCACAAGTGGCCCCATCACAAGTGGCCCCATCACAAGTGGCCCCATCACAAGTGCCCCCATCACAAGTGGCCCCATCACAAGTGCCCCCATCACAAGTGGCCCCATCACAAGTGCCCCCATCACAAGTGGCCCCATCACAAGTGCCCCCATCACAAGTGCCCCCATCACAAGTGCCCCCATCACAAGTGCCCCCATCACAAGTGGCCGCATCACAAGTGGCCCCATCACAAGTGCCCCCATCACAAGTGCCCCCATCACAAGTGCCCCCATCACAAGTGGCCCCATCACAAGTGGCCGCATCACAAGTGGCCCCATCACAAGTGGCCCCATCACAAGTGCCCCCATCACAAGTGCCCCCATCACAAGTGCCCCCATCGCAAGTGGCCCCATCACAAGTGGCCCCATCACAAGTGGCCCCATCACAAGTGGCCCCATCACAAGTGGCCCCATCACAAGTGGCCCCATCACAAGTGGCCCCATCACAAGTGGCCCCATCACAAGTGGCCCCATCACAATTGCCCCCATCACAAGTGCCCCCATCGCAAGTGGCCCCATCACAAGTGGCCCCATCACAAGTGGCCCCATCACAAGTGGCCCCATCACAAGAGGCCCCATCACAAGTGGCCCCATCACAAGTGCCCCCATCACAAGTGGCCCCATCACAAGTGGCCCCATCACAAGTGGCCCCATCACAAGTGGCCCCATCACAAGTGGCCCCATCACAAGTGGCCCCATCACAAGTGGCCCCATCACAAGAGGCCCCCATCACAAGTGGCCCCATCACAAGTGCCCCCATCACAAGTGGCCCCATCACAAGTGCCCCCATCACAAGTGCCCCCATCACAAGTGCCCCCATCACAAGTGCCCCCATCACAAGTGGCCGCATCACAAGTGGCCCCATCACAAGTGCCCCCATCACAAGTGCCCCCATCACAAGTGCCCCCATCACAAGTGGCCCCATCACAAGTGGCCCCATCACAAGTGGCCCCATCACAAGTGGCCCCATCACAAGTGCCCCCATCACAAGTGCCCCCATCACAAGTGCCCCCATCACAAGTGGCCCCATCACAAGTGGCCCCATCACAAGTGGCCCCATCACAAGTGGCCCCATCACAAGTGGCTCCATCACAAGTGGCCCCATCACAAGTGGCCGCATCACAAGTGGCCCCATCACAAGTGGCCCCATCACAAGTGGCCCCATCACAAGTGGCCCCATCACAAGAGGCCCCATCACAAGTGGCCCCATCACAAGTGCCCCCATCACAAGTGGCCCCATCACAAGTGCCCCCATCACAAGTGGCCCCATCACAAGTGGCCCCATCACAAGTGGCCGCATCACATGTGGCCCCATCACAAGTGGCCGCATCACAAGTGGCCCCATCACAAGTGGCCCCATCACAAGTGCCCCCATCACAAGTGCCCCCATCGCAAGTGGCCCCATCACATGTGGCCCCATCACAAGTGGCCCCATCACAAGTGGCCCCATCACAAGAGGCCCCATCACAAGTGGCCCCATCACAAGTGCCCCCATCACAAGTGGCCCCATCACAAGTGGCCCCATCACAAGTGGCCCCATCACAAGTGGCCCCATCACAAGTGGCCCCATCACAAGTGGCCCCATCACAAGTGGCCCCATCACAAGAGGCCCCCATCACAAGTGGCCCCATCACAAGTGCCCCCATCACAAGTGGCCCCATCACAAGTGCCCCCATCACAAGTGCCCCCATCACAAGTGCCCCCATCACAAGTGCCCCCATCACAAGTGGCCGCATCACAAGTGGCCCCATCACAAGTGCCCCCATCACAAGTGCCCCCATCACAAGTGCCCCCATCACAAGTGGCCCCATCACAAGTGGCCCCATCACAAGTGGCCCCATCACAAGTGGCCCCATCACAAGTGCCCCCATCACAAGTGCCCCCATCACAAGTGCCCCCATCACAAGTGGCCCCATCACAAGTGGCCCCATCACAAGTGGCCCCATCACAAGTGGCCCCATCACAAGTGGCTCCATCACAAGTGGCCCCATCACAAGTGGCCGCATCACAAGTGGCCCCATCACAAGTGGCCCCATCACAAGTGGCCCCATCACAAGTGGCCCCATCACAAGAGGCCCCATCACAAGTGGCCCCATCACAAGTGCCCCCATCACAAGTGGCCCCATCACAAGTGCCCCCATCACAAGTGGCCCCATCACAAGTGGCCCCATCACAAGTGGCCGCATCACATGTGGCCCCATCACAAGTGGCCGCATCACAAGTGGCCCCATCACAAGTGGCCCCATCACAAGTGCCCCCATCACAAGTGCCCCCATCGCAAGTGGCCCCATCACAAGTGGCCCCATCACAAGTGGCCCCATCACAAGTGCCCCCATCACAAGTGCCCCCATCACAAGTGCCCCCATCACAAGTGGCCCCATCACAAGTGGCCCCATCACAAGTGGCCCCATCACAAGTGGCCCCATCACAAGTGGCTCCATCACAAGTGGCCCCATCACAAGTGGCCGCATCACAAGTGGCCCCATCACAAGTGGCCCCATCACAAGTGGCCCCATCACAAGTGGCCCCATCACAAGAGGCCCCATCACAAGTGGCCCCATCACAAGTGCCCCCATCACAAGTGGCCCCACCACAAGTGCCCCCATCACAAGTGGCCCCATCACAAGTGCCCCCATCACAAGTGGCCCCATCACAAGTGGCCCCATCACAAGTGGCCGCATCACAAGTGGCCCCATCACAAGTGGCCCCATCACAAGTGCCCCCATCACAAGTGCCCCCATCACAAGTGCCCCCATCGCAAGTGGCCCCATCACAAGTGGCCCCATCACAAGTGGCCCCATCACAATTGGCCCCATCACAAGTGGCCCCATCACAAGTGGCCCCATCACAAGTGGCCCCATCACAAGTGGCCCCATCACAAGTGGCCCCATCACAAGAGGCCCCCATCACAAGTGGCCCCATCACAAGTGCCCCCATCACAAGTGGCCCCATCACAAGTGCCCCCATCACAAGTGGCCCCATCACAATTCGCCCCATCACAAGTGGCCGCATCACAAGTGGCCCCATCACAAGTGCCCCCATCACAAGTGCCCCCATCACAAGTGCCCCCATCACAAGTGGCCCCATCACAAGTGGCCCCATCACAAGTGGCCCCATCACAAGTGGCCCCATCACAAGTGCCCCCATCACAAGTGGCCCCATCACAAGTGCCCCCATCACAAGTGGCCCCATCACAAGTGCCCCCATCACAAGTGGCCCCATCACAAGTGCCCCCATCACAAGTGCCCCCATCACAAGTGCCCCCATCACAAGTGGCCGCATCACAAGTGGCCCCATCACAAGTGCCCCCATCTCAAGTGCCCCCATCACAAGTGCCCCCATCACAAGTGGCCCCATCACAAGTGGCCCCATCACAAGTGGCCCCATCACAAGTGGCCCCATCACAAGTGCCCCCATCACAAGTGGCCCCATCACAAGTGGCTCCATCACAAGTGGCCCCATCACAAGTGGCCCCATCACAAGTGGCCCCATCACAAGTGGCCCCATCACAAGTGGCCCCATCACAAGTGGCCCCATCACAAGTGGCCCCATCACAAGAGGCCCCCATCACAAGTGGCCCCATCACAAGTGCCCCCATCACAAGTGGCCCCATCACAAGTGCCCCCATCACAAGTGCCCCCATCACAAGTGCCCCCATCACAAGTGCCCCCATCACAAGTGGCCGCATCACAAGTGGCCCCATCACAAGTGCCCCCATCACAAGTGCCCCCATCACAAGTGCCCCCATCACAAGTGGCCCCATCACAAGTGGCCCCATCACAAGTGGCCCCATCACAAGTGGCCCCATCACAAGTGCCCCCATCACAAGTGCCCCCATCACAAGTGGCCCCATCACAAGTGGCCCCATCACAAGTGGCCCCATCACAAGTGGCCCCATCACAAGAGGCCCCATCACAAGTGGCCCCATCACAAGTGCCCCCATCACAAGTGGCCCCACCACAAGTGCCCCCATCACAAGTGGCCCCATCACAAGTGCCCCCATCACAAGTGGCCCCATCACAAGTGGCCCCATCACAAGTGGCCGCATCACAAGTGGCCCCATCACAAGTGGCCCCATCACAAGTGCCCCCATCACAAGTGCCCCCATCACAAGTGCCCCCATCGCAAGTGGCCCCATCACAAGTGGCCCCATCACAAGTGGCCCCATCACAATTGGCCCCATCACAAGTGGCCCCATCACAAGTGGCCCCATCACAAGTGGCCCCATCACAAGTGGCCCCATCACAAGTGGCCCCATCACAAGAGGCCCCCATCACAAGTGGCCCCATCACAAGTGGCCCCATCACAAGTGCCCCCATCACAAGTGGCCCCATCACAAGTGCCCCCATCGCAAGTGGCCCCATCACAAGTGGCCCCATCACAAGTGGCCCCATCACAAGTGGCCCCATCACAAGTGCCCCCATCACAAGTGGCCCCACCACAAGTGCCCCCATCACAAGTGGCCCCATCACAAGTGCCCCCATCACAAGTGGCCCCATCACAAGTGGCCCCATCACAAGTGGCCGCATCACAAGTGGCCCCATCACAAGTGGCCCCATCACAAGTGCCCCCATCACAAGTGCCCCCATCACAAGTGCCCCCATCGCAAGTGGCCCCATCACAAGTGGCCCCATCACAAGTGGCCCCATCACAAGTGGCCCCATCACAAGTGGCCCCATCACAAGTGGCCCCATCACAAGTGGCCCCATCACAAGTGGCCCCATCACAAGTGGCCCCATCACAATTGCCCCCATCACAAGTGCCCCCATCGCAAGTGGCCCCATCACAAGTGGCCCCATCACAAGTGGCCCCATCACAAGTGGCCCCATCACAAGAGGCCCCATCACAAGTGGCCCCATCACAAGTGCCCCCATCACAAGTGGCCCCATCACAAGTGGCCCCATCACAAGTGGCCCCATCACAAGTGGCCCCATCACAAGTGGCCCCATCACAAGTGGCCCCATCACAAGTGGCCCCATCACAAGAGGCCCCCATCACAAGTGGCCCCATCACAAGTGCCCCCATCACAAGTGGCCCCATCACAAGTGCCCCCATCACAAGTGCCCCCATCACAAGTGCCCCCATCACAAGTGCCCCCATCACAAGTGGCCGCATCACAAGTGGCCCCATCACAAGTGCCCCCATCACAAGTGCCCCCATCACAAGTGCCCCCATCACAAGTGGCCCCATCACAAGTGGCCCCATCACAAGTGGCCCCATCACAAGTGGCCCCATCACAAGTGCCCCCATCACAAGTGCCCCCATCACAAGTGCCCCCATCACAAGTGGCCCCATCACAAGTGGCCCCATCACAAGTGGCCCCATCACAAGTGGCCCCATCACAAGTGGCTCCATCACAAGTGGCCCCATCACAAGTGGCCGCATCACAAGTGGCCCCATCACAAGTGGCCCCATCACAAGTGGCCCCATCACAAGTGGCCCCATCACAAGAGGCCCCATCACAAGTGGCCCCATCACAAGTGCCCCCATCACAAGTGGCCCCATCACAAGTGCCCCCATCACAAGTGGCCCCATCACAAGTGGCCCCATCACAAGTGGCCGCATCACATGTGGCCCCATCACAAGTGGCCGCATCACAAGTGGCCCCATCATAAGTGGCCCCATCACAAGTGCCCCCATCACAAGTGCCCCCATCGCAAGTGGCCCCATCACATGTGGCCCCATCACAAGTGGCCCCATCACAAGTGGCCCCATCACAAGAGGCCCCATCACAAGTGGCCCCATCACAAGTGCCCCCATCACAAGTGGCCCCATCACAAGTGGCCCCATCACAAGTGGCCCCATCACAAGTGGCCCCATCACAAGTGGCCCCATCACAAGTGGCCCCATCACAAGTGGCCCCATCACAAGAGGCCCCCATCACAAGTGGCCCCATCACAAGTGCCCCCATCACAAGTGGCCCCATCACAAGTGCCCCCATCACAAGTGCCCCCATCACAAGTGCCCCCATCACAAGTGCCCCCATCACAAGTGGCCGCATCACAAGTGGCCCCATCACAAGTGCCCCCATCACAAGTGCCCCCATCACAAGTGCCCCCATCACAAGTGGCCCCATCACAAGTGGCCCCATCACAAGTGGCCCCATCACAAGTGGCCCCATCACAAGTGCCCCCATCACAAGTGCCCCCATCACAAGTGCCCCCATCACAAGTGGCCCCATCACAAGTGGCCCCATCACAAGTGGCCCCATCACAAGTGGCCCCATCACAAGTGGCTCCATCACAAGTGGCCCCATCACAAGTGGCCGCATCACAAGTGGCCCCATCACAAGTGGCCCCATCACAAGTGGCCCCATCACAAGTGGCCCCATCACAAGAGGCCCCATCACAAGTGGCCCCATCACAAGTGCCCCCATCACAAGTGCCCCCATCACAAGTGGCCCCATCACAAGTGGCCCCATCACAAGTGGCCCCATCACAAGTGGCCCCATCACAAGTGCCCCCATCACAAGTGCCCCCATCACAAGTGGCCCCATCACAAGTGGCCCCATCACAAGTGGCCCCATCACAAGTGGCCCCATCACAAGAGGCCCCATCACAAGTGGCCCCATCACAAGTGCCCCCATCACAAGTGGCCCCACCACAAGTGCCCCCATCACAAGTGGCCCCATCACAAGTGCCCCCATCACAAGTGGCCCCATCACAAGTGGCCCCATCACAAGTGGCCGCATCACAAGTGGCCCCATCACAAGTGGCCCCATCACAAGTGCCCCCATCACAAGTGCCCCCATCACAAGTGCCCCCATCGCAAGTGGCCCCATCACAAGTGGCCCCATCACAAGTGGCCCCATCACAATTGGCCCCATCACAAGTGGCCCCATCACAAGTGGCCCCATCACAAGTGGCCCCATCACAAGTGGCCCCATCACAAGTGGCCCCATCACAAGAGGCCCCCATCACAAGTGGCCCCATCACAAGTGCCCCCATCACAAGTGGCCCCATCACAAGTGCCCCCATCACAAGTGGCCCCATCACAATTCGCCCCATCACAAGTGGCCGCATCACAAGTGGCCCCATCACAAGTGCACCCATCACAAGTGCCCCCATCACAAGTGCCCCCATCACAAGTGGCCCCATCACAAGTGGCCCCATCACAAGTGGCCCCATCACAAGTGGCCCCATCACAAGTGCCCCCATCACAAGTGGCCCCATCACAAGTGCCCCCATCACAAGTGGCCCCATCACAAGTGCCCCCATCACAAGTGGCCCCATCACAAGTGCCCCCATCACAAGTGCCCCCATCACAAGTGCCCCCATCACAAGTGGCCGCATCACAAGTGGCCCCATCACAAGTGCCCCCATCTCAAGTGCCCCCATCACAAGTGCCCCCATCACAAGTGGCCCCATCACAAGTGGCCCCATCACAAGTGGCCCCATCACAAGTGGCCCCATCACAAGTGCCCCCATCACAAGTGCCCCCATCACAAGTGCCCCCATCACAAGTGGCCCCATCACAAGTGGCCCCATCACAAGTGGCCCCATCACAAGTGGCCCCATCACAAGTGGCTCCATCACAAGTGGCCCCATCACAAGTGGCCGCATCACAAGTGGCCCCATCACAAGTGGCCCCATCACAAGTGGCCCCATCACAAGTGGCCCCATCACAAGAGGCCCCATCACAAGTGGCCCCATCACAAGTGCCCCCATCACAAGTGGCCCCATCACAAGTGCCCCCATCACAAGTGGCCCCATCACAAGTGCCCCCATCACAAGTGGCCCCATCACAAGTGCCCCCATCACAAGTGGCCCCATCACAAGTGCCCCCATCACAAGTGGCCCCATCACAAGTGGCCCCATCACAAGTGGCCGCATCACATGTGGCCCCATCACAAGTGGCCGCATCACAAGTGGCCCCATCACAAGTGGCCCCATCACAAGTGCCCCCATCACAAGTGCCCCCATCGCAAGTGGCCCCATCACAAGTGGCCCCATCACAAGTGGCCCCATCACAAGTGGCCCCATCACAAGTGCCCCCATCACAAGTGGCCCCATCACAAGTGCCCCCATCACAAGTGGCCCCATCACAAGTGCCCCCATCACAAGTGGCCCCATCACAAGTGGCCCCATCACAAGTGGCCGCATCACATGTGGCCCCATCACAAGTGGCCGCATCACAAGTGGCCCCATCACAAGTGGCCCCATCACAAGTGCCCCCATCACAAGTGCCCCCATCGCAAGTGGCCCCATCACAAGTGGCCCCATCACAAGTGGCCCCATCACAAGTGCCCCCATCACAAGTGCCCCCATCACAAGTGGCCCCATCACAAGTGGCCCCATCACAAGTGGCCCCATCACAAGTGGCCCCATCACAAGTGGCTCCATCACAAGTGGCCCCATCACAAGTGGCCGCATCACAAGTGGCCCCATCACAAGTGGCCCCATCACAAGTGGCCCCATCACAAGTGGCCCCATCACAAGAGGCCCCATCACAAGTGGCCTCATCACAAGTGCCCCCATCACAAGTGGCCCCACCACAAGTGCCCCCATCACAAGTGGCCCCATCACAAGTGCCCCCATCACAAGTGGCCCCATCACAAGTGGCCCCATCACAAGTGGCCGCATCACAAGTGGCCCCATCACAAGTGGCCCCATCACAAGTGCCCCCATCACAAGTGCCCCCATCACAAGTGCCCCCATCGCAAGTGGCCCCATCACAAGTGGCCCCATCACAAGTGGCCCCATCACAATTGGCCCCATCACAAGTGGCCCCATCACAAGTGGCCCCATCACAAGTGGCCCCATCACAAGTGGCCCCATCACAAGTGGCCCCATCACAAGAGGCCCCCATCACAAGTGGCCCCATCACAAGTGCCCCCATCACAAGTGGCTCCATCACAAGTGGCCCCATCACAAGTGGCCCCATCACAAGTGCCCCCATCACAAGTGACCCCATCAGACTGCAGCATCCACCGCTGCCGGGACCTTCCTCTCGTCCCAACCCCCCTCCGCACCCCCCTTCTTCCCCATGCCCCCCTCCCCCCAGGTGGGTGTTCTACCAGTGCACGGCCCCAGAAACCCCCCCAATGGACTGGATAGCGGCGCTCAACGACAGGGGCATTCGCGAGATGAGCATCGTGGGCGACAGCCACCAGCGCTTCCTGGCGGCGCACCTGCACTTCCTGCTCATGGGGCAGGCGGACCCGAGTGTGCGGCGGGGGCAGGACGACCTGGTGTTTCATGCGTTCGACGGCAGCAGCGGCACGCTGAGAATCAACTTCTACTGGATCGATGGAATCTATAAGAATGGCGAGTTCGGCTGCACGTGAGTGCTTGGGTCACGGATGGGTTTAGAGGCGTCTCAAAACTCTATTGATGGGATCTGGGGGATCAACTACTACTCGATTGATGGGATCTAGGAAATCAGCTACTAGGGGATTGGCGGATTCGGATACACATGAGTGCATCTGAGCGTTCTGATGACTCTAGCCTGATTGGCTTGGATGGGTTTGTATGGGCTTGCATGGGCGTGAATGGGCTTGCATGGGCGTGAATGGGCTTGCATGGGCGTGAATGGGCTTGCATGGGCGTGAATGGGCTTGCATGGGCGTGAATGGGCTTGCATGGGCGTGAATGGGCTTGCATGGGCGTGAATGGGCTTGCATGGGCGTGAATGGGCTTGCATGGGCGTGAATGGGCTTGCATGGGCGTGAATGGGCTTGCATGGGCGTGAATGGGCTTGCATGGGCGTGAATGGGCTTGCATGGGCGTGAATGGGCTTGCATGGGCGTGAATGGGCTTGCATGGGCGTGAATGGGCTTGCATGGGCGTGAATGGGCTTGCATGGGCGTGAATGGGCTTGCATGGGCGTGAATGGGCTTGCATGGGCGTGAATGGGCTTGCATGGGCGTGAATGGGCTTGATATACTTGATTGGGTTCGTGCGGGCTTGAATGAGTTTGAACGGGTTTGTATGGCTTGAATGTGTTTGATTGGTTTTGTATGGGCTTGAATTGGTTTAAATGGGTTTGTATGGGCTGCTTTGGATGGGCTTCAAAGAGCTTGTGACAATTTGAGTCGACTCACAAGCCGTCTGACCTAAGCTGTTCCCTCCCCCCATCTAAGCTTGATTGGGCTTGAATTGACCGGGCTTGTCCTTCGTTCCCATCTCTCTCCCCTTCCTCCTCCTCTATCCCCTCTTCTCCCCACCCGCCCAACTCCCCACTACTCCACACCAGCAGTCGCGGCATCACCACCAACTGATCGGAGACCTCGCCAAACATCTCCTCCATTGCTTTCGAGGCATCTCAAAAGGCCCACCTCCCCCTCAACTCCCCCCAATCCACCCCTTTCCGCCCTCCCCTCCCCACACCAGCCTTAGCGGCATCACCACCAACTAATCGTACATCTTTCCCAACATCTCCTCCACTGCTTTCGAGTCGGCCCAAAAAGCTCGCCTCCCCGCCAACCACCCCCTATCCACCCCTGTCCTCCCTCCCCTCCCCACACCAGCCTTCAGGGCATCACCACCAACCAATCGAAAACCTTCCCCAACATCTCCACCACTGCTGACGTCACTCTTTTTGAAGGAGGCTACTGGGCAGCTTCCGTCTGCCGCCAGCCCCTCAAGGCGCTCCGAGTGCACCTGGCGGAGTTTGCCCGCTGGGCGCTTGCTGCTGCACCCGTGAAAGGCAGGGTTATTTTCCGAACTATCCCGTCTTTTCCGGTGGCTGGGGACCAGTGTAACGCGTGGTACCCGGGGCCGAGTTCGAACCGGGTGGCTATGGCGATTAATGTGCTGCTGAAGCATATAGTGCAGGGTAGAGAAGTGGGTGGAGAGGGAATAGGCGTGGAGGGAGCAATGGCAGGAAAAATAGGAGGAAGGAGAAGTGGAGGAGAGACAGGAAAGCTAGTTTATCTTGATTCTAGCTTGCAGCTATTACCCCGAGACTCTGAGGATGGGGAGGAAAATGGAGAGGGAGCAGGAGCTGAGAACAACGGAGCAGCTAAGGGTAATGGAGCAAATTCGGATTTCCTAGGTGATAATGGGGCAACAGCCGATGGGAATCGGGCAGCGGGTGAGAATACGAGAGGAGAGAAGAGAGGAGAGAAGAGAGGAGGAGGTGAATGGGGTGCAGTGGTAGTAGAAGAGGCGGATGAGATTGCAGCAGCTAGTGGTGCTGATAGTGGTGGTGGTAATGGTGGTGTTAATGGTGGAGGTACGGCAACCACTGTTAGATCATCACCATCACCATCACGATCCGCTGAGATAGAAGCATTACCCGCGGGGGCAGCAACAGTGCTGGACACGTGGCAGGTGGACGCCTCTCGGTATGCTGACACAGCAGCCCCCAGTAATCACCACTATTCCATGGTGCGGGGCACACCAGAAGGTGCAGTGGTGGTGGGGGAGGTCGGGGAAGCCCAGGTGCGGGCCTTCATTCACTACCTGCTGCACATACTGCCACCACCCCATGCGAGCACACTCTAGCTGCATGCGTGCTCTGCTTCTACGGGGTTCTTCCACTCTCCTCCCCCCAACTCGTTACCACTGCTCAGACCAGTGGCCGGGGCTGCATTGTTGGGCTGAGAAAAGCCCTTAGGATATTCTAGAGACTGAAGTACAAAAAACGTAACAGTGCAAGTTGTAGAAATTCCTAATGGATGTACAGTATTAAACATGCAAGTGGCACACATGAGTTATATACTAGTTTTAGAAAAAAAACATGTTCATTCATGTATATCGTAAACGTTTTGGGCACTTATCATGACTCTTACCCGTCTGCTCCTCTCTCTCATCCCTCTGTGAGCTTATCCAGCGCTACTCTCCTTCCCTTGCCTCTTGCATTCTTCCCTCTTCTCATTCCTCCCCCCTTCACCTGTCCTTCCCTTCCCTTAGCCAGGCTGCCCCTATGCAACAAGCTTCGAGCTCCACACCCACACAGATCGAGTCAATTTAAGTTCCTTCTTATTGCTTGCTTTCTGACCAGGAAAACAAAATTGCAGTAAGACTGTAACAGAAACATACAAGCGAAAAGTGATTAGGGTAGGGTCGGGTGTCCCCTGTTGGAAACATCTACCGGTAATTCACGCTTCTGATGTGTCGAAGCACTATAACAAGAACGAAGCATATCCACAGCGAAGCAACTCCGAGTCAACCAAGATACAGTAAAGCGGTTGACAAGGCGACAACAGCAGGAGGTTGAAGCGAAGGTCAAAGGTCAGCAACCTTTGACTCGACAAAGGCAGCACGACAGCAAGGACAAATAACTGACTCGCTATTGAGCAGTTACCCGAGTCGTCGCTATATCGAACCGCAACAGCAGTCACAGTTAAAACTTTCGTATTCCTTGTAATAATATAAAACCTTGTATCTCTTTGCTATAATCAACTCATCTTGTTCTCACATACCGTATTACCCCGGATAGAAGCGCACATGCGCTTATAATAAAGCAGAGTTTTTTAGGGGGGTGCGCTTCTAATTGAGTCATTTTTATAAGCGCATGCGCTTATATAATGACATATACGAATTTATAAATTTAAGACACCAAATTGTATGTTTCACTCTTGCCATTTCAAACGAGTCGAAAATTTTCGCGTCACAATGCAGAATCTCCTGCAAGCGATTCTCTTCCAGCACACAGGGGCCAAGATGCGACACTTTGCAGTCATGCCAGCGCATCCCGACTGGACGCGCAGCCGGTCAGGTCTGAGAGAGTCAAACTCAGCGAAAATGAGATTGTACTCGCTTCAAAATTGAAACTCGCTACCGTTTCGAACAGAAATTCTAATTTAAAATTGTACATGCGCTTATAATAAGTAACGTTTTCACAGGGGGTGCGCTTATAATTGAGGATCGGCCATAAGCGCCAGGCCCCACGATATCAGGGTAAAACATCCTGATTACCCTGATTTCAGGATAGTGTCAGGTGTTTTCTCTGCAATTTCAGGATGATGGTGTGTTTTACCCTGTCACTTCAGGATATTTTTTGTGTTGAGCCCTGAAATTTCAGGAAGGCCGTGAGATTTTGCCCTGAAGCATCAGGACGAAGGTAGAGGGCTGCCCTGACGTGTATGCAGAAGGGGAAGGGGTGTGGGGGGGGGATGAGGGAGAGGGGGGAAAGGGGTGGGGGGTTGTGTGTACTGGTTTTGTGTCCTCCCGAGGATTTCGCCACTTCCTCGTCGTACCGTACCATGCATGCACCTGGCTTCCCAGTCATATCGTGCCTTCCCCTCCACCTCTCTCATGTCTTGTGATTTTGTTGCCCTGGAAGATCAGGATGAAATCATGTAGGTGCCCTGAAAGTTCAGGATAGCCATAAAAAATTGCCCTGAAAAATCAGGGCATTCTTGAGAATTTTCAAAAGTTGCCCTGAGGGCTCAGGATGCCCGAAATCCTAGCACAGGCCCTGATAAGCGCATTGCTCCAGATAGAAGCGCATGCGCTTATAATAGGCCTGCGCTTCTATCCGGGGTGATACGGTACTAGTGCAAGATGGTTCAATTGGTTTACTATTACGCTTCCGCTACTACATTACTACTCTGAGACTTTAGTCTTGAAAACGATCCTAAGGGCTTTTTCAGCCCAACATGGTCTGAGAGCCTGCAAGACAAAACTCAACTCTGTTCAATTTCCTGCAACAACAGAAGACATGGCAACACAGAAGGAAAGAAGCTCGTCTACTGGATCTCCCGGTACTACTCCTACTCCACCATCAGCCTCTGGACTGCAGACAGAAGGAGGCACAACTCAAAGACCAGCTACTGAGTCAACGGAGACTCCTGCGAACCAAGCAACCGGCATCGACCCAAGCATGATGGAGAAATTCTTCTCCTTCATGTCGTTCTACGAGCAACATCAACAAGCGGCACCTGCGTAGTCAAACAACAACGACAACAACAACGGAGTCACTCCTATGAGTCTCAACAGCTCATCTTTTGCGCGCGGAAATCAACAGCCTACCTTCGCACCGTATGTACCTCAACGCGGCTCCGTCAGCTTCATGCCGAATCGGCTCCCACCTGGACAAGAGACGAAGACATTGGATGCACTTCAGTTGCAGTCACAATTCGCACACGTGCTGAAACTGCAAACATCTGATAGAATACTGACCGAATGAATGAAACAGAAAAGAGGGGTTTCACTAGCAGGCAGTTGAGTACATATAGCAAACCCTAAATTGGGCTGTACTCACTATTAAGTACCCCACTGCAGGCTAGACAAATATAACATATTCTGACAACATCAACACCATTTGACGGAAAGGACTTCTATACCTGGTCCTTCGAATTCAAGCTGATGATGGAAGGCGCTCAAATTCTTGGCTTCTTCGACGGCTCCCTGCCATATCCAACGCACGGGACACAGTACGACAAGCAGCAGTACACGTACCAGCCACTGATGGCATACACCATACGTCTGCAAAACATAACGGCAAACGAGCTGCAGAACATCCGGTCTTATCGCCGATACGGAAACTCCGCCGAGCTCGCGTACAACCACCTGAAGAACCTGTATGAAGCAACCGACAGCGTTAATCAAAGTCGTCTCATGGCGCAATTAACAACGGTCCAAATGCAACCTGACGAAAAGGGAATGGCATATATCAGTCACTGTCATGGTATGCGCGATAGACTCCTTCGATGCGGCGGATCAATATCCGAAGAAGCGTTCATCACTGTCGTCATCAAAGGTCTCGGTCCTCAGCGGCACTCCAGTCGAGCCATTCTCCGAGCCCACGGAAGAATCTCTGAAGCAAATCTCTGCACCGAAATCCATGCCGAACAACAAGACATGGACATGCATGAAGAACGACAAAATAAAAGAGGATAGCACCGGAGTTCGCCTTTCACACTCAACGGCGCAACAACAACAACAACCGACAACAAGAGCACCAAGCATGAAGATACGTACCACCGTTCTGTCATCTCTGCCGAACGTCAGGACACTCTCGTATTCATTGCCCGAATCAGCAGCAATCAACACCATCACCACGTCAGCTTTGACCTTCAAGTAGTCAAGTGACTTCCACACAGTAGCATCCTTCCAATCAGGCGCCACCTTCAACGACAACGTCACAACCTGCACGAAGAACAAGAAACATCATAAGCTGTATGACAAGAAAGGACTCCTGCATCATCGGTTCACCACCAACCTACACTCCAGAAGAATTGCTCGACGAAAGCACACCTCGTCGGGAATCACTGCAACCAAACCCGACATACGCAGCTATCGCACAGAGCGAACCGTCCGGTAAAGATACTTGGTTCTTGGACAGCTGCTGCGGACAACACATGTGCTCGTCAAATCGCTTCGTTCAACGGGAACAGCATCTCAACCGGGAAGTCGTGATCACCGTCGCCAACAACCAGAATCTGCACACCCGACGACAAGGATTTGTTCAACTTCAGTCCTGCGAAACTAACGTCGTTTTGCAGATGTCGAAGGTTTTGATTGAAGAAGGACTGGGCTACAACTTGCTAAGCGTCAGCCAGCTCATGGCAAAAGGGATTCATCTTGAAGCTGTCAGCACCACACAGGAATTCAAACGGTACAACGAGAGGGGCGGGCTTTACATCGGGAAAGCAGTCCACAAGAACAACGTCTTCATTCTCGACTTTGTCCCAGATCAAGGAACTGCTGACAGCGACGCGATCGTCAACTTCACCACTTGGTCGCACCCACCAGATCTCGACTCAGACTTCAGCCTCGGAGGCTTCTGATACTCACACACTATACCTGAAGCAGAACGGACAAGGGCGTTAGCAGTGATTCAACAGACAACAGCAGTAGCAACAACATCGGCAGCAGCAGCAACATCGGTAGAAGCAGAAGCAACAACAACAGCACCAGCACCAATCGCCAGCTCTTCATCAACACCGAATCCCGCTCAACAGCTGAGTCCCGCTCCACGAGACATCCACAAAAGTGCTAACGTCACTGCAGGTTTCTACTCCAACTCCGACCTGTACACACGTTCACCTGGACATCGCGCCGACGAATAATTGTGGCATCAAAGGCTAGGACATCCCAGCAACACAAAACTGAACAACACGATAAGAGCAGGAGTTCTCGACAAAGATTCACTACTCTTACCCGACGGAAGAGAACTTCAACGAGTCCGCGGAACCTGCTTTACCTGTCTTGAAGCCGACTTACCTCATCAGCCGTTCGTATCTCACCACAACCCGAGCACGCCAGGATATGCACCGCTGGAGAAGGTCTACAGCGACATACTGTACACCCGCGAAAACGGACATGGAGCATACAACTACGTTATCACGTTCATCGACGCCGCCACCAGATACATCTGGCACCTCAATCTTCCGAGTCACGACATGGCCTTCAAAGCCTTCGTCGCTTGGCTCCCAGTAGCAGAGAGGGAATCAGGAGTGAAGTTGAAAAGTTTCGAGTCAGACGGGGGAGGAGAACATCAATCACGGCGCTTCAAGCAATACCTGGCGGAGAGAGGCATCCAGAGACTCATCTCT